TAATCACGTTTCCCGAGTTCTGCAAATCTCGAGATCAACGTACGAACGATGACTACGTCTTCGATACATTCAACAAATTTCATTAATACTTATTCTGTACAATCTTTTGTATTGATTTGGATAAATTATCTAAGAAATCAGTAATTTATTTTATATTCGATCCTATCTTGTTTTATACACGTGTTTTTAGAATCAGATTAGGTATTGAAAAAAGTAATAGATTTAACGAACCGATTAACTTTGATTACATGGAAAGCGATAATGTTAGCGTGAAACAATAGAGATTGGTTTTGTTAGTTAGGCGATCGTAGGTCGTTGACCAGACGAGATTTAATTTCGACGTGAGAAATCGAATTGCGATTTGATTCGGTAATGACTTAGGTCTTTAAAATATATTCGTATATTACGTTGTCCTGTTTCTTTTTTTTTTCTTTTACAGTAATCTTTAATATAAATTAATTTCATGTTTTTTCTTTTTCTTTTATTTTTTTCCTTTTTTGTTTCCTCTTTCAAATAGTATCAAGTAATCGGACCAAGTAATTGGTATGGCTCGTTTTAATTGTATATCACATAGAAACCATAAAGACATAGGCGTAAAGAATGTATGAATTAATGAAGCGTCAAAGAAAGTAGAGTTTCAAAGATCGTTAATAAAATATATACGTGTGAAAAAGAGAAGAAGAAAAGTCCATAGACGTTATGATGGACGGTTTATGAAATTCATTAACCATCAAACGAACATACAATAAAGAGAAAATGATATAGAATCTTGGCATAAGTTAAAATCATAATTTTACATTTCCAACAGGAAGCAAAATACACAAGTATACAATGAATTTTGATTTAGTAAACTACCGGAACACCGTTATACCATTTTCTTAGATTACTCGAACAATATGCGATTTTACTCTTCTATTGGTTTTAATATAATCAGGAAAAGTTGTATGATCATTCTCTTTTAAAGTGAATTCTCTTTTAAGTGATTTTAATTGACGAAGTATAACACAGATTTCTTATTCTTTCGGTTAAATCATTACCCACTTTTTAAAAACTTATCTACTTTTTTTTCTTTCGCTCGCACTTTTACAAGACTACGTGAGCTACTGACTTGTCAAAAATGCGGGCAAACTTTCACCAGAAATTCGTGAATCAGATCGCATCAGGCATCGAAAGAAGCATCGGTTTTATATACACTTCGCACGTATTTTTATTCTTACCGAACGTCATTGGATTCTTGGAATCTCGATTACACCAGAGAGTATAAATATAATCCAACTGGAATTTGATGATTTTCTATTAAATTAAATTATTCGCGTTAACGTTCGACAAATGGGTTAATCGATTTATAATAATTTCGTACGCACGTGTTCTTCATATTTTTTTAGTCCAAAGAAATTACGGAAAGGTCAGAGCGTCAACACGACGACCGGTTTGTGGTTAGCACGTATTTCGTATTTCATTCTCTTCGCGTTTTTTCTTTTCAATGATCATCCAAAAGTATGGATAACTTCGTTCTGGATTCTCGTGAGACTTCGCTGGTCGTTTTCCAGATGTTACTACTACTACCTATCGATTTCTTGAACCGTGAAATATTTTCTTCTTGCGTACGTTTCTTTTCGAGGCAATGATGTCGAATTAAGGAGACACTCCTTCTTGAGATAAAGAAAGAAAACAAGAAAGAGAAGAAAGAGAAAACAAAATATGTAAGCATGACGAGCATGAATTTTACATGGTAATATCGTCAAGAAAATACTTTTATGTATTTTCATAGATAAGAAACTTTTTTTATAATATATTAGATATATACTTTATCGATACTTATACGTAAGTGTTCGTCAAATATTACGTCGGATTCGTAATCCTTATATCTTTCTCTTTCTTTCTCTTCCGATTACATTTCGAAAGAAAGGATATTAAGGCGAATATCATAAATTTGAGTTCCAATCGTTAGTCTAAGTGTATTCTCTCTTCGTTTGTAAATTACAATTTAATACTTCGATAATCAATATTCTCAAGCGATATAAATTTCAAGAGGTAGACTATAAAAAGATAAAATATAGAATATGTCTATCATACATTTGAAGTTCATAGAGGTCTTGTACAGTCTGGTTCATCCGTTAAAGAGATATAACGATCGAAGACAAGTTTCTTCTTTAAAAGAATGAACGAAGGAATTGATAAAAATCATACCTTAGAAATGCTAATTGAACAAACTCTTAATAGTAAAAAAAAAAAAGAAATGTTACAAAACGCTTAAATATTTATTTAGAAATTTTCAATCGAAGTAAGATAGAAAATAAAGTGTTGATAATGAAATGGCACATATGTGGTTATTTTATCCGAGTATCGAGATTTGATAATGTCAATAATAATCTTTTGCGATAGCCCAATTTTGCGCTTGTACGGAAAATTCGACGAACAAGACTGTACGTATAAGAGCCGAAGTTTAATATATTATCGGTATGAACAATGTGCACCTTCAGGAAACGGAACGTGGGATGATAATAAAAGAGATACGTCTATTGAAAATTGAATTCTCGTTAGTAAATCGAAATGTGAGATATCTGAAATCCGTAGTTCATATTATTCGCATTTACAACGATCGTGCTTTCCGTGACACGACAGGACCGTTTGTCTCGGGGGTGCTGCTATTTGTATTCGAAATCACTAGGAAGTGAAATCCTAAACCGGTCGAACGCGTTGTTAAGCCAGATGCGTGTGAAAATCGTTCACCACCCGGCTGTTCATTTCAAGGCAACTCACGGACGATCGATTCCGCAAATGGAAATGAGCCTTTAGTTAGAATCGTAAACGGGAAACCGGCGACGAAGGAAAATCGGTGAAGATCGGGATAGGTAGAAAGAGAGAGAGAGAGAAAGAGAAGACAAAGAAAAGACAAAATGCTTTGAATTTGTTTTTATCGGTAATCTTTTTCACATCTTTGATTACTTAACAATACATGTGATTTATAATTAAAAGAAAAAATTTAATTTGATTTCTTTTTTTTTTCTTCTTTTTTCTTTTCTTTTTTTTAATCGACTAACGGACACTCTTTGTGGGTTAGAAGATTAAGGTACGCGATAACACGTTTATTGTAGAGATAATTTCACGTTTAGAGACAAAGTTAGAGAGTGGAAAGGAGGCCGGGTAAAAGCAGACATTCCACGTACTATCTAAAGTGCTAACGCTAAAGATTAAATTACATCAAAAGCCATGCAATCGAAATGCTCGAGTTAATAAACTTTCTAATCGGTTTTACCGGCAAATGCATGTAAGTTAACATGAACTTTTAACATTCGATATTATCTTTTTCTATTTAACCTCTGGTCTCGAAAATGAACTCGTCAAAATATCCATTAAAAGATTCTTTATATTTCTCGTTGCTTCTCTCTCTCTCTCTCTCTCTCTCTCTCTCTCTCTCTTTTTATTTCTTTTTTTCTCAAGAAGAGGAATACAAATCGAAGGTACCCAAGAATCGTCCGAAGATAAAATCTGGTTATTATTATATCGTTTGCAGACTTTACGATACAACGGCACATAGAGAGGTGTCGATTGGTTAGTTAGACCGACAAATTCTTGAACGTTCCCAGGCCCGTTTCTGCCGGTGCTCGAATAACGTTCACGTCTATGAACGTTCATGGAATAGCAAACTAGAGAACGGCCGACGACGAAGATCGCGATCGTCGCCATCGAGACAGGATCTTTTAAATCGTTTCGAAAGATCACGACCTTTCTACGAGATTCTTCTTTCTTGATCGATCTTGAAATTCTCTTAAACCAATCCTTCTTTCTCTCTCTCTCTCTCTCTCTCTCTCCTTCTTTCTCTCTCTCTCTCTCTCTCCTTCTTTCTCTCTCTCTCTCTCTCTCCTTCTTTCTCTCTCTCTCTCTCTCTCTCCTTCTTTCTCTCTCTCTCTCTCTCCTTCTTTCTCTCTCTCTTTCTCTTCCTCTTTTCTCTCTCTACCTCTTCCTTATTTTCGAATAGTTTCGTTTTTATTCTTTATTAATCCTCATAATTACATCTAATCACTGTCATTGCCATATTATTTTTCATAAATGACAGATCTTTGCACTCTACTCTGTAATAAAATTTATTTTCTTTTCTCTCTTCTTCTCTCTTAAAAACTGTTTAAATAGCTCTGGTAATTGGAACACCGCTCTAATTGCCGTGTTTCGATTAACCGAGCGCGACAGCCTGAATGCTACCAAGCTCATTAAGGATCAATTTTTAAGATCATCCCATTAATCACTCTCGCGAGCAACCATTCACTATTCTACTCCACCCGTTTCTCACTCTCTCGATCGCTCAATCTCGTTATCGAGACGCTTTTCGCGGTACCGTGAATTAAGATGTATGAGACGACGCGATAACGTGTCTATTCTCATCATGGGCATCTATCTTAGAAGACGATTCATATTATCTTAACGTTTTGACAAATTAATGACCTTTAAGAGATTTCGATGATAATAGTAGATGCAGTTTCGTAAATATAGTTTATTTGTATAAATTCATGAAATTCAAATAATTCATCCAATAATTCACAAATAATATATAAGATCTTTATTATATAGGATCGTATATATTATCATACATTATCGAATTTTTCTTACACCGAGTATATACAACAAGAAAAAATAACAAAACAGAAAGAAGAATAAACTATTTATACATAAATATTAATTTAAATTGAAAAAATTGACAATTGACACAATTATTTAACGTTAAGTAAGTTTGTATTATTAAAGTGTTCATAAATCCTCTTTATGAGAACATTTATGTTTTCTTATATTAATTCGCATAATGGAAATAATAAAGAGGATTATGATTTACGTAAAGCCGACGCCAATGTATTCTTTCGTTCGTTCGTTTATTCATTCTACTTCGATCTTCCTCGATCTCGCATACATACGTATGATCGATAGACTCGCAAATGAATCAGCGTTTTACATCGCACAGATACGGATTCCGCGATCGAGCGTAGTCCGAGAGATCGCATACGTACCTACCTGATTCTTGTCGATGATTTTGATCGGTGGAACGCAAATCGATATTGCGTGTCTATCTAGTTAGAAGCAAACGACGATCTTACGGCGAGTTACCGCTGCGAGCACAGATGAGTATATCTGCCTTCTCCGAGAGCGCCCGCATCGGTCCACTTATGGTCATCCTTTTTCGTAGCGAATAACTGTGTGACGTAGGATAACGTCTCTTTAGATCGTACGATCTGACGACCTGAGCCATTCCGGCCTATCGTGAGAACCAGACGCAAAAATCATTTTCCGAAAGTGCTCTTTTCTTCCTCAACGATCGGTGGCTCGTGTTACCTTTCTAAGAGATCGATCTACGAGATTTTTTATACTGGATTACAGCGAACAAAACGCAAGGTCAAAACTTTTCTGACTTTAATGGCGGACCTTAATCGCCCTGCCCTATCGTTCCTGAGAATTGCGAAATAATATTATATCGTGAAAAATGAACCATCGTCTTTGGTATTAAGTATCAATTATTGACCAATATGTTAATCGAGATAAGTTAATTATACTGTAGTACTTTATGAAATAACGTTTGGTTTATATCAAAATTATTATTTTCTTCGATCTTGGTATTAGAAAATGAACTCTGGAACTCGTCAAACCGTTACAAAAGATATCATGGAAACATACATAGGAAGAAAATTTGTTATAATTCAAAGGCATTCTGATCGTACACAGTTCAAGATTAATCTCGTTTTGTATCGTAGTGCTGATCGAAAATCGTTCAGTAAGTAGGGTGGAAGATCACAAAGGTTGAGATTGCGAAGAATGAACAACTGGCCTCAGGCCAGGAAAGTGATAGTTGATCAGAGATTTCCAACATTTCAATTAGTTGATAAATTATAAGCGCCATCATCGTCAAAATAGAAGAAATGGACGGTCTGTTTAAAAAAACGAAAACAAGAAAGTTGTTTTCTCTCTCTCTCTCTCTCTCTCTCTCTCTCTCTCTCTCTCTTCCTTTCTCCCTCCCTCTCTTTCTCTTTTTCGCTTCCCTTTGACGTTTCGATCAAAAAGTCGAAGTACTTGGAGCTACTCCCTAATAAATGCTCCAACATCACCTTCTTAGAAATTTCCATGGTTTTCGCGAAGATAACGACCACGTCGATAACGTCCTTCATTATCGTCAAGGATAAGATCTCTCATCCCTTCGATCTCTTCGCAGCTTCTTACATCTCACGAATACATTGGTGAGATCGATTTCTGCGACGTTATAGTTTCTTAATGATTGTACCGCCGTAGGCTAATGGATTTTTTTCCCGTTGCACTTATCGATAACGCGCCATCGTAATTTTCAATTTATGGACCGTTCCGCAGCGATCCTTCGATCCGATAAATCCAAGGATTCCACCCTTACGCTTTATACTCGCTCGTATCTATCTTTCTCTTCTCGGATCATCCTTACGATCATCAAACGTTAGTTTCTTTTTTGTTTTCTTTTCTTTTGTATTCATAAGAATAAATGAATTAAATTCATCAAATCAAGTGACAGATCTTTAATGTTTTTCGAATATTTGTATTTGTGGAGTAAACATCGTGATACGAACATAATAACGTCCAATTAAATAACGATGGCTTAGAAGAAATTCATAGATATTGTAGCGATAAATTGTTGATAAGTCGATGATTTCTTTAAGCCGGTACATGCTTCTATCCACATACTAGACTATCCGTTATCGCCTTTCCGTATTACGACAAATTGGTCTATTATAACGATTCTGTTAGCACGAACTGGTTCGTTAACGTGCTTGTAAAGCGTTCGATGTAACAGAGCAACATTCTCCTCGTATCTACTACTTGGTCTGTATTCAAAATATCCTGTTGATGTTTCCAAGAAATTAACACCAAACGTGAGTTTTACTTTATAAATTAAATTGCTATGTTAATTAACACAAACGTATTTATAATAGTATATATTTATTCAGCCACATTCCATATATATATATATATATACATATATGAATATTAAGTACGATGTTTTCTAAACTGCAATCTACACGTTCCACTAACAAGGTCGCTGACATCTCGTCGCGTAAAGGTGACGCCTCAAAGAACGACAACTAACAGAACTCGGTGCTAACAGTGCTTTGTCGTTCACCACGAAAAATCTTTGCCTTTGGATTCTAAGCGTGTCTCGAATAGAATGACGACGCCAGCGGACAAATTATGCTTGCTGTTACGTGTTTCTTGGGCGAGGCTCTTACATGATTTTGTCTAAATAATCAAGAGGTATGATTTCTTCTTTCTTTTTTTTTATATATTTTTTTCAACAAAGTTGTTGAAAGTAAATTGTTTAAGATAAGCCAAATAGTTGGACAATTTAAAAGAATTATATTTGTAGCATCAAGTTGTTCAATATGAAATGTGAATTTTTATGTCATTTTATTTTATATTATTGAATTAATAACAACAACAAATCAGATTACAGTAGATTTATCTATCTATGATTGTTATTATTTATTTATTGTTGAATTCAATTCATAATCGTTCGATAAAATTTAAGAATCGTCTTGGAGATATTCAGTGAAGTTGATAGTTCCAAAGAAGAAACGTAAAAAGCATTTACGAAAATGGCGTTTGTTAATATCAAACGGGACACTTATGACATCAACTTGAACTGCATTCCTTAACAAGATGAAACCGTAGTCCGGTCTAAATAGAGAGCACTGGGTTTCAGGGTCGTAAAAACGTTGTTTCCTCATCGTCTCTTGAGACCCGACGAGTTGTCAAAAATACGCGATACGATTTGTGAGGACGTGACTCGAAGCGGGAGTTCAACTTAATTTGTAACGTTTCTGTTTATTTCTTATTATATTTCTCCTCTTTCTCGAACGAATCTTGTTCCTCATGAACGACGATAAAAAGTTACGTTGAACGACGTGTATGACGGTACATGGCTCTTATACCAGGACCAGAAGTTGATTCGTGAGATCGTAAAAGGTTTCAAGAGCACGTATGCTCTCTTTATTTCTTCGTTTCTACCTGGTAACTTCGCGTTAACGTGCTAACGATTGCTAATAAAAATTAACTTTAAATGGTAACGATAATTTAGTTTAACCGCAGAAAAAAGTGTAAAACATTTAGATCAATTGAAAGGATCTAATCGTTGATCAGTTATACGTTGAGATTCGAGATAAAAATACGTAGTTTTAAGCACACATATATATATGTGTGTAAATTTCTCAAAATTTTCGATAGAAATTAGATCAAATTATTTTTTCAATTTGATATAGACGATCCCATTAATAAATTTGCATAAAATACAAGATTTTACGTGTATATATGTGTTCATATAATCGCGCTCGGTATGGAGCTCGATTTATGCATTGAGAATTCCACGAGATTGTCAAAGACTGATTATAATTTGCTTTTGCTCCTTTTAATGCGTCCTCCTCGTCGGATTTATTTATTTTTTTCTTTCTTTCGTTTTTTTCTCTTCTCTTTTTTTTTCAAGGATTAAGAGCGACGAGGCACTTCCTGAAGCAGTGCGAGCAAGGAAACGAGCGCAAAGAGCGAGGTCCTCGAAGGATGTGTGCCCTTCATCATCTCTCTTCTTCTTCTTCTTCTTCTTCTTATTTATTTTCTTACTTTTCTTATTCTTCGTTCTTCTCAGCCGCTTCTTCCACTCTTGTCTCGTAAGATGGGTAACCGTGCAACGTTTTGCCGACGAGCAAACCGTCCTTAACGTCTTATGAAATTATCGGCAACGAAGGAATCTTCAGCGCGACAATGTACGTTTTGTTTTGTTAATAACTTCTTTTTTCGGTGATAACTCCTTTTCTATCTAGATACTTTCATATATATATATATATATATATATCTTGCGATAACTACGATTGAAAAAGTTCGAAACTCAAACTGAAAAAGGTGCAATACTTTTTTTTTGCATATCTACTACTTATATGATATATCAAAAAATAAATAGATATAAAGAATGTCAAGGCGAGATAAATGATTTTAATAATATAGCAAGGATGAAATGATAAATTATATCTATATTTTACTTCTATCAATAATATATGTACGTAGATATACAATTGCAGGGAAATTTCTCATAATTTCAATTCAAAGAGAGAGAGAGAGAGAGAGAGAGAGAGAGAAATGGTAATAACATTGGTCAGATCAAGAAATGATTGTAGAACGGAAGTCATCTCGGTTAACGATGTATCTTTAAATAGTAACAAAAACTTTTTAGATTTTGAAAAAAACTTTCACGTTCCTCTTTAGCAAGCATCGTGAAAGTTGTGGCTATAGAACAATGACTCGTTTCTGGGTGTTTTGAGTTTCGATTAGCGATAGTTAACGTCATGTTAGAGACTTCGATGCTTTTAGAGAGTCCAAGTTCGAATGGTGCCGAATAAAAGTTTCTACAGGAGAGTTCGATCAAACGAATTTTATGATCACGGAGTTTCTTGCATCGTTCTCAGAATTCTTTGTGCGGATTAAAAAATCATGTATCATTCTTTTATCTTCGTGAGATTATCGTATAAAAATGATGTAATCGCATTAGATATATTGCAAGTACAAGTTATATATGTACTTATGTCTGTCGATAATACACATTCCGTTATACGAATTCAGAAAAAAATTATTTAGATCATTATATTTTTTACCAGTAACTCGTACAAACTTCTAGCAGTCTGTTTCTAACAGACACTCGTAGAAGTTAATAATATGAACACTCTTATTAGCATCATCTCCGTAAATAATATATAAATAGTAGATGTAACAGGTAATTCGCCAAATTTAACGTTTTCAATAAAACTTTAAGAGTTACGATCATTATAATATATCTCGATAGTTGTTATTTTCTCAGGTATTTTGTTTAAATTAATTCAAATTGCCGTAAAAACAAGTTTTCTTGCAGGGAATAAATCTACTTATACAGGATGATCCATGGGAAACCGAACATATGAATATCTTCTTCTTGGGATTGAAAATGATTTTGATAAGTATTATTAATCATACCCATGATTTATGTATATTCATAATTTGGTTCAAGATTATCCAATAATAAAAAAAAGAAAAAAAAAACTAAGTTTATAGAATTTCTCCATATGAATTTACATCATTCATATTCGAGGAAAACGTTTAACATTTTGGTTTATAATGGAATGATGGAACACTATGCTTAAATATCTTGAAAAAGAAAATAATTCTCATTAATTACTTTCTTGAAGGTAGTAAAACGGAGGCATCTTGACAAATTTGTTTTCGCTTCGTCGCTTTCGTAGCTGAAGAAACTCATAGCATTCGAAAGCGACGAAGACGACGACGACGAAGACGGCGAAGACGACGATGCACCGCACGATTTACTCTTTCCACAAACATCAAAGCCGTCTGGCAATCGCCATTAGATTTCCAAGAGGAAACGATCATCGGCCTTGCGCTTACGTAAACCTTCGTTGTTGAAGCCGTGAACGCGTTCTCAATACACCGTGT